TCGGCAGACCATCACTCAGGTAGGGTACTGAAGAAACCCGTCTATCGGAGGAGAGGCGACAAGTCTCTCGGGGACGAGCACGGTGCTTCCTCCCTTGGACCTCGAGAAAAACAAGCTTTAAATTGAAGCAAAAACGAGCGTGGGTTCCGGTTTGGGCATACCGAATTGTCTAAAACGAGAGGAAGTTCGAATAGCAGTTGTAGCGCTGGGCTTGGCTATGTGGGAATGGGAAAAGCTTGTTTTGCTAGGTTATGTAGGTGAAGCTAGTGGAGGGATCGTACCCTGTATTTGGTGTTCCATTTCGGTAACACAGCGCCTGCTTGCTACCTAGGTACTTGTATTGTTTGTGACCGCCCTGACTGGTGAGGTCCCAAGGTAACTAGACTAGAAACGCTCATTTTACGAAAGTTTCTCGTTCCTGGCTGAGCTACTCTATTTCCCACATTTATCAACACCTCCTGGCAAGTTTTCAAGAGCTATGCATCGTGGAAGACAGGTAATTTACCATCACATTACTGTTTATCTTTTACATCGCATAAGCAGGCGCCGCTACTGGTCTACAGCTTATCCAGTGTTGATTTCTTTGAATTTCCCGTCCATGTTTTCGATACTGTACGCAGTACAGCATACCTCTTATCTAACACCGTATCCGTACTCCGTCTGCTGTATGCTGGGTCTTGGCTGTGTGGACCCCAACCACTTAACGCGTGTCGCGACCTCATACTTGCCAGCAGGTACCTACCTACTTTATCGAAGGAGGTAGTGAGTCGTGACCACCTGTGCAAGTCGCAACACAGCAGCTAGGTAATGACCACGGAATCGAGTACGTACAGGTAGACTGTATCTGAATAAATATCGCTACCTACTTTGTACCCATACTTTTGTTCGTTAAGTGGTGGAACCCATCTATTTTCCCAACATCTAACCTAGGTCGTTCATCTCGCCTTCCTATGCTCCTAGGAGGCCAAGCGCTCAACAGCGCCGGCCACCTATGGCGACCATTAAGCCAATCGAGGCGAAAACAGTACGCGCGTCCCCTTATAAGGCCGTTTCGTCAAAACCGTTGCTGACTTGACTTCAGATCCACCAAATTCAATCCGGGCAGGTCATTGTGGACCTTTGCTCCGTCGTGAAGGAACTGGTGGAAAACAGCATAGATGCCGGCGCAACTAATATCGGTACGTACTTATCGTTCGAGTGGGCTTCCTTCGTCTCCTCTCGCATACGATGCTTGCTTACACAAGTACCTCCAGAGGTTCGCTTCAAGAATCAAGGGCTAGACGCCATCGAGGTCCAGGATAATGGCTCTGGAATATCCAAGGAAAACTACGAAACCTTGGCGCTGAAACATTACACCTCGAAGCTCGCCACCTACTCGGACTTGGAGTCTCTGGAAACGTTCGGCTTTCGTGGGGAAGCGTTGTCATCCCTCTGTGCCCTGTCAAGGTTTACAGTCACGACTTGCGTGGCTGCAGATGCGCCCAAGGCTTCGAGACTGGAGTTTGAAACGTCCGGGAAGTTGCGGAGTACGAGCATCGTTGCCGCCCAGAAAGGAACGACAGTGTCGGTTGAGGGACTCTTCCACAATCTGCCCGTCCGCCGCCGGGAACTGGAGCGAAATATCAAGCGAGAGTGGAACAAGGTCCTGGGTGTTCTCAACCAGTATGCGTGCATCCAAACCGACCTCAAATTCTCAGTATCGCAACAGCCAAACAAAGGAAGGCGTATAGTTTTGTTTTCGACCAAAGGAAACAAGACCACGCGCGAAAACATTGCCAATGTCTTTGGTGCAAAGACCTTGACTGTCCTAATCCCCATGGATCTGGAGCTTGAACTCGAACCGACAACCACGTCAAACACAAGACAGCTAACACAGGCCAGTGGCCAAGCGAAGATCATCCGTATCAAGGGTCATGTTTCCCGTCCAGCTTACGGCGAAGGGAGACAGACCCCTGATCGCCAAATGTTTTTCGTCAATGGCCGTCCATGTGGCTTACCGCAGTTTGCCAAAGTCTTCAACGAGGTGTACAAGTCTTATAATTCCTCGCAGTCACCATTCATTTTTGCGGACATACAGCTCGATACGCATCTATACGATGTCAATGTCAGTCCCGACAAGAGGACCATTCTGCTTCACGATCAAACGCGGATGCTCAATAACCTCAGGGAGGCTCTCGGCACCTTGTTTGAATCACAGGATTATGCATTGCCGACTTCGCAGCTTCAAGCACCAAAGCAATCCTTTCTCAAACCTGCTGCACAAGGGATACAGAGCAGGCATTTAGCAGAAGCGAGCACAACCCGATCTTTGTCGGTCGTCCATATAAATCCCACCAATGTGATCGCAACGGGCCCCAGATCCATGACTGAAAACACCGATGACGAGAGTGAGAATGACCGCGATGCCGAGCAGAATATAACAGCTGATACGCCGGTGTCCGCAAGCGAGTCTGCACAGGGGGTGCAAACTACCAGCTTGATTACCCGTTGGGCCGAAAGGAAGAGCGAACTACGTGTTGGTAAAAGAGATGAGGAAGAAGGCGCAGCCGATAGCGCAACAAACAATAGTGAACAGGTGGACTCACATGCTTCTCCTCCCTTGAGCCGGGAACAGACACCTCAGCGTGAAAGCCCAATCGAGAGTGGCAGTCGCGTGGAAGATTTTCGAGCACGTCTTGAGCTGCTGAAGAATAGGACGAAGGGCGAGAACGCGGATCAGTTGTCAGTGTCCCAGGACCCTGTATCGGAGCCTCCTATTCCCTCTGTTGCTGCTTCTTCTGGTATGACAGATTACAGATCTAAGCTACAGCATTCCTCCCCATCAATCAAGCGCTTCGCACCGGAAATTGCTACAATCACTGTAGGGGATCACACTGCGACAAGTGTGATTGGAGGGCCATCTAAGAAGCAACGGATTGAGGATAAGTTGGCCTCCCGAGTACCGGCGCGGAAGGACCCTAAGAAGTCAAAGCCCATGCCTTCATTCAATGGACGACTTACCCAGATGTTTGCCGCCCACGCCAGTCGTTCGAGTATCGACAAAAGCCAGCTTGAGACCGATACGGCAGAGGATCACAATTCACAGGATTCCGATGCTTCTAGCGAAGGCCTTTTCGTAAAGGACGATGGCGATGAAGAGAGCGGGGATGAGGAGACGGTTCAGGACGTAGTACCAGAGGAGAACGAGCAAGCTGTTCTACATGAGCGGGCGATGTCGAGGGAGAACTCCGAACGAGAGACGGACGAGCAGCTACCAACATCTCCAGAAAACCTCAGCGACTTCGAAGGCGGCGAAAAAGAGGCCGGAGGCGATGACAAGTCGTCCATCGATGGAACCGCCGAAGGCGCCCAAGATGGTGAAGTAGCAATCCCAGAAAAGTCAGCGAGACGCACCAAGGGTTTTGTCAAGGGTACCACCAGGAAGAAGGATGCGACCTACCATCTGCAACAAGCACTGCGGATAGACCAAAGGCTCATCCGTGACGCCTTCACCTTACAGCAAGAGCATGTGTCGCAAGGGTCCTCGGATGCGAGAGCGACGCTTGCAACCGACCGTCTCGATGCAGAAGACGCCGAGGAGAAACTGTCCTTGACCATATCGAAATCAGACTTCGAGAGGATGAAGATCATTGGGCAGTTCAATCTGGGATTCATCATAGCCTCCCGCACTGCAGAGGGAGACCCAGCCGAGACCCAAGGTAAAAACGGTAGAGACGACGAGTTGTTCATCATCGACCAGCACGCAACCGACGAGAAATACAACTTTGAGCGCCTCCAAGCCAACACCGTGGTACAATCTCAGAGACTGGTCCACCCGAAGACGCTCGAGCTCACAGCGCTCGAAGAGGACATCGTGCAGGAGAACATGGACGCGCTGGAGGCCAACGGGTTCATCGTCAGCTTCGACGGCAGCGGCGACCAGCCCGTGGGGACCCGGTGTCAGTTGCTTAGTCTGCCGCTGAGCCGGGAGACCACCTTTTCCCTAGCCGATCTCGAAGAGCTAATCTCGCTCCTCGGCGAACAACCTCCCTCCTTCTCCTCCTCCTCATCCCCTTCTGCGAGGGCGGCGATACCGCGTCCGTCCAAGGTGCGCAAGATGTTCGCCATGCGCGCCTGTAGAAGCAGCGTCATGATCGGGAAGCCGCTGTCTGTAAAACAGATGGAGAAGCTGGTCAGGCATATGGGCGAGCTCGATAAGCCGTGGAATTGCCCGCACGGACGTCCTACCATGAGGCATCTTTGCGGTCTAAGCGCGTGGGACGAGGTAGGCTGGAGAGAGGGCGACAATCTCGATGGGAGCAGACCGGCCCCCGTGGACTGGGCCGTTTATCTTCGGGGTGAGGCGCAGTAAATAAGTTCTGGAATAAAGTATGGATGTATACAATATCATGTACCATATTTAGGTCTGAAGATGTATGTAAGGTATGGATTCCATCCTGGACAGCTACCTCGGTATGATGGTATTGCTATCTGCAGGTACCTTTTCAGTTGCCCACGCAAACGCAAACCCTGGGTACTGGAAGGAACGAGGTGTAGGAGGTTTGTTGTCTGGATTAGAGAATACCAATAAAGTCATAGATGTTTCGGCTTTTTAAGGGGAAGAGTTTCTTTCTCTAGAGACTAATACTTTATTTAATACTGGTTTTGTAGTGCGGAATGCTTACAAGATCATGACCATATGTCTGTAAGATTAGGCTTCTACCTGATGATGTTAATAATCGCTTCAGTTTCAGCTTCAAATCTGCAGTATGGCAACCTGCAGGATTACAATTGCCATTTCTCTTTTCTTTCTCTTCTCTTCTTTCATCCCCTATAAGGAAATTACCTAGTTGTTAATCAATCAACCAAATATTGACCAATATTTAATTTACGTTGTTGACAGGAACATGTATTTGGACTTCCTTCAACTCTTTCCTTATTCCATCCCGTACTCAGCTCCTTGACGTTTGATTTGGTGTCGGCTTTCCAATCAGGTGTTCTCCACAGTGCAGAACATCCCCGGGCGAATGGTCTAGGGGTATGATACTCCCTTCGCATCTCTGTTCTTCTGATCTTATCCAAAAGACAAGAGCTAGCTTGGGAGGGGTCCGGGGTTCAATTCCCCGTTCGTCCATTTCTTTTGTCAAATTCCACACCGTATATATCCTTTTTACCTCTTCCTGTCTTTACCTCTTTTTCTTTGTTTGATTCTGATTCTTGACCTGCCCCCAATGCTCTCTGACAGGTCAGTTTGAATTCTCTTTTGGTTATGTTGGAACTCAGGTGAGATTACTAGACTGGTTAGTTACCCAGTGCTTTAAATAATCTGTGTGGGATTCAGGAACCAAGTGGTAGGTAGATATAGCAGATTATAAACCTAGTCTAGACTAACTAACCATTTGTCTAAATACAGCCCATAGGAACAAGCACCTCTGGCGTTCTCAGATCAGCTTAACTGCAACAGATACAGCAGTTCATAGTGTCGGTAACAAGAAATGGGAATGGGAAAAGGTGAGGCGTGAAGGCCGATGGGCCCAATCCATCCTGGCCCCTGCCCTGGGCCCTGGCCGTTGACCAGAACCACTACTTATATTCTAGTGTCACCCTCTTGCCTCCCATCTTCCTCTCGCCAACGTACGTGACGAACTCTACAGAATCTCCCGATGGTATGAGTTCGATATCGTAACGCACGATTTTAATCCACTTTCCCGTTTTGCTCCAGAAGTTTTCGAGTTCCGAGTACTGGGCGTCCAGGTTGCAACGTATTGTGCCAAGTTCTCCGACACTCGGGGAGGTGCGAGAGGGTGGCACCTCGTCGTAGCAGTAATATATCCTGTTCTTTAGCGTCCCAAGATACTCGTGCTCTTCAAATAGCTGGTACCAAGAGAAGCGCACTGGTTCGATATCACGCACTGATTGTCCCTAGTCATTGAAGAGTTGTGTTGAGCAGTCGATTCGATTATAGAGAGACGTACTGCTATGGGGGCAGAACTTACTCATGTCAAATACCATTGCATCTGATTGCCAACTCTATATTCACCCAAGTGTTCATCGTAATATCTCTCACTCTCTGGATGCAGCGAGGGGTCATACTTGGTGTGGAACCTAATGCCATAGCTAGCCCTGGACACTCTTGACGAGATCATGATGGGCGGCTCAAGTCCAGGGTCGTTGCTTTGTTGTCCCATGAAGCCTTTCATGACAGCACCCCGGCAAATTGCCGTACGGCTACGGAAAACTCTCCGTTAGGATCTCATGCATGGACAGGGTGATAAATCTTGGTTTACCTACGGCTTGATTCCGCCTGACTGGAGAATGGTGATGCCGGCGCCGGAGTGCTTGTCCTCCAGGTAATCGTACAAGTACGGGCTGCACCCTAACCCACCTACCAGAATTATACCCTATGATCGCTCAGCCTTGGTTGGTATTTTTTGAACACACTGGCCCCCGACTAGTGATGCTGGCCACTTACGATTACTGACAGACCTTTGGCTTTCGCCTTTTGGATCTGGCCCTCAACAAGCTCGTTGATCTCGTGGAAAGTGGCCTCGAACATGGCTTGGATGTGGCTCCTACGAGTGTATGGTCAGCCTCTGTCATGCGTATCAGACTGACGAATAAAGTGTGGCACGTACTCAAGGAAGTGGATGCGGCCCTTCTTGATATGAGGTAGTCTCTCCATGTCGTCCAATGGATCGCCTCTCCGGAATACCTCTGCAGGTAGCGCGATCACGTACTCTTTCCCGGCCCTTCCGGGCTTGAACTCTGACTTGACACCATGCTCCCACTCCTTTCTCATGATGTCCCTGAGTCCAACCTTGCTTATACGCTCCCACTTGGCCCCGAGACGGCTTCTGCATGCGCGTTCAAACGCCTGGTCGATGAATATCCCGCCGCAGAGTCCTCCTATTCACGACGTATCTCTTTAGCTGAGGCCGTTTACTTTTATCGCCGCGAGGTACACATTGGAGCACTTACCTTTCCCTTCCACAGCTTCGTGGAGGATCATGGGCGTCAAGCTTTTCACTTCGTAGCTGATGAGATCCTTTGAAAAGCACCGTCAGCTCATATAACCTCGCAAAGGATGCGCAGGAGAAGATGTCGATACTCACTACAGTGCCGCCACCAGCATCACAAATCAAATATGCCTGATCTGGTAGTACGCCGGATCCTTGTTCAATAAGTGTTGCCAGAGCAGCAACCTCTGGCTCAGGTGCTAGGGTCAGCTCCGTCGCTCCGGCCAGACGGGTGTCGAGGAGTCCAGCTCTCGCGGCGGCATCTCTCATGGCCTGCCTGGCATATCCCTTCCATATTGCGGGAACTGTGATGATGATTTGGATAGGAAGTGCTTCGAGAAAGTCCTCGCCAAGTTGCCCTTTCAATCGTTGATAAGACGTGCGTCCAGAGGTGACGCAAATAGTCGGCGACCAGGTCGGTAGCTGTCTTGCCAGATTCCGCCAACTTGGCTCGGCCCCGTGTCAGGATCTCGGAGCTGTGCACATTGTCGCCTAGGTCCTCTCTTTTCAACAATAAGAGCTTAAACCAACGAAATGGCTCGACATTGGCGGGGATCTCGTAGCCCCAGGATGCTGTTCCGTCATCGCTGTACCATATCTCTGTCGGCACCTTGCCTTCCTCTCGACCCGTGCCGGGCCAGGACATGATCAACTTGACTCGATCTTTCTTGAAGTCCGTCAGGGTAGCCCAGGCCACGCCCGTGTATCTGCAACATAGACAAATTGACATTATTGTTGAGAGTATGGAGAAAGGGCAGGCCTTATAGAGTTCCACTTACGTTGTTCCAATGTCAAGGCCGATTACCAGCCTGTCGATGACGACGCTCTCGCTATAGTCCATCTTGATTGAGTCTTCTCTGTACTTCGTGGTTTGCGATATGTTCCTTCTCACGATGTGCTGTCAAAGCAAGGGTGTTGTTCAACGGTATACTGTTTACTCTAATGAGTTGGGGTGGTGGTTATTGAGTATTGAGAAAGATTACGGGGAAGGATGACGGCAATATATAGTTTTCCGGGTCTGAACAAATGTTAGGCATTGCTTCCACGTGAACATGCCTCAAAGCTTTGGGACTTTCTATTCTTGCCCATCGCTCCTATTCGAAGCCAGTAGTCTCACCGTGTGCCGTCTGATTGGGGAAGTGAGAAACATGCTGGAAAGCAACAGTTGATCCGATGGTCTCTGCCATGACGTGCGGTTGAGCCTGTAGCATACCAATCCGGATTCCGGACTATTCGCTTTCTATTAAAACGCCGTTTCATGAATGCCGTGGCAGGGTCGGGCAAAACCCCACGCTCTTAGTCGCCGCTCGCGGTGGGGAGTATGTTCCATGCATGTTTCGTTTCCAGACCCCCAAGTCTTGTATTTCTTTTAAAGGATAAGTATCCCAGTGTCCCGCCGCGCTTCATGTTTCTGATCAATACGCCATTAGGAACCATCAATCTTGAAGAAAATGGCGGTGTGGTCCTTTAAGACGAAAGTGAGAAAGTATGCGGAACGGCGGAAGCGGCTCTGGCCTTTCTTCCGTCTCGGATCCGTCGTGACGGAGTCTCGATTGGAGCTCACAAATCCAGCACCTGATCCACATGGATTGCGGCGGGATGACACGGTCGCCACTACACCGGCAGCGTCCATCAAGACCCCTCATAGCGACAGCACTGACGAGCACGCTTGCGTGAAGATTGACGGAGACACCCATGAGGATTCTAACGCGGACGCTGGGAGGGAACATGGGAAGAATGCGACTGAATCGACCAACCTAAAATGTGACGAAGACGAGGTGCAGAGAGCTTTGCTCATGATTCAAGAAGCAGCGGACACAGTCTCCACATTCATACAACGACTTCAAAACGAAAGAGAGGGCTCGCTGATGAAGGTGAGCGAGACGCAAGAGGAATTGCTATCCAGCAATCAGACAATTCAGACACTTCGGCAAAAATGGGTAGCGGTAAGCTCTGAGCTTCGCAAGCTCCGGGCTGAGGGCCAGGAAACAAGCCAACTCGCCGACAGTGATCTCATCGAGGCCGTAGAAAGTCTACGATACCAAGTTCGGAACTTTGCCGCTCAACACTTTCCACACAGAGTATCCGGGCAGCCTGAGGAGGACTCCAGGAGAGGCTTCTCAGAGTTCAGCTCTAACACCATCGCTGCCATGGCACGGGAACACGGGCGCGAGCTCATGCTCTCTGAAGAGAAGTGGCCTGCCATGGCGCAATTGTATCTATGGACCGTTCTCACCACCAAGATTTTCTACAAGTTTCGTTGGGTACCACACCTATGTCACTTCATGGCTCCAATCTACGAGGCCTTACTGTCACAATCCGGTAAGTAAAACGGACAGAACTTGAGTATTAAATCCACCACCAGCTGATCAAGTTCCTGAAGAAACCTCGACAGAAGTCACAGAACCAAATATCGAGCACGACTCACAATATTTCTATGCTCATTCTCCAACATATGGGACCGTATAACCCTACCGCCAATCAGCAATGTATGCTCGACGACCTCCGACAGATAGTCGAGAAAGCCATTCAGATCGACCGCGACTTGTGTCTCCAGACAGCAAAATACTCTTGGGAATTCCCTCGGACGCTTCGGTACGATCCAACGTGCATGGAGATACCGACCGGCGCCCGGGAGCATCAGCCGGAAGCAGGAGACCTCATCGACTTGGCCACGGCTCCGGGGTTGTCGAAGAGTAAATGCACAAAAGAGGGACTGGAACCGGCCGACTTTCTATTGAAGATGGAGGTGACATGCGCTTTCTTCCATCATCCGCGAGATATTCTCCGAGGCAGACACGGGTGGGCGTCTGTGACAACACTCGCATTGCCTCCTCCAGAGCTTACCTACTGCAAGGGACCAAATCTTCGGAGACCACGATAGCACTAGCTTATAAGGGCTATATATTGATGTCTCTAGAAGAAGGGTGTGTTGGGCTTGACTCTTACCTCAAACGTTACTTTGTTATAAATATTGTACCTAGCTAGTAACGGCAGACCTATAGACTTGTAGAATTAAGAAAGTTACATACCTCCGGAATTGTTTATTGATTTGAGCTCTAGGAAGCTGGGGAGGCCCTGATCTGGTTTAGTCAAGGACAGGAGACAATATTGATTGTGTTGCATGATTTATGTCTACGATGGCAGTCAACTAAACTACCGACTGCTAACAGTTAGAAAAGATCAAGCTTTGTGACCAACTAATTAGGTTACTATTTATCCCTGGCTCCGAAACAACAATACCAAGATTACCCTAGAAATTCTTCAACAAAAGCATGTAAAATTTGTAGTTGAAATTCCTTGATAGATATATCTCTTCTACCTAGACTAGAGCATCTTTAATGGAAATGAAAAAGGAATGATTATCCTAACCTGTTCGGACAGAGCTATCTAACATATAATTACACTCACCAACAAGACCATGGTGGTATTACCTGTCAATCTGCACAGGGTAACATGGCTATAGTGACTTTAACGTTTGATTTCATTGTAGAATACAATCAATATTAATGGACAAACTGCAAAGTTCACTTCTCCATTCCCCAGCCAAAGTTCTCTAACCAACCAATCTTAATAGAGCTGGCTGGTTTGGCAAGAATTTCCTTATACACTACTCAAAAGACAACATATCTTAAAACAACCCGTAAAAGCTTACGGGGGAGGTTAGAACGTACAAGTGTAGCCTCTTCATCTCCAGCGCCAGGATCATCTGTTGCTGAGCCTGCGATTTGTTTACCCCAGGGACTTCATTGATCACATGTTGAGCGCCGCTTGACAAAGAAGTACGAGGAGGATTTTTGGGGGAACCCTGAAAAGGGGGGTTTGACAACGTCTTCCTAGTAGGTCAAATGCACTAAAGTGAGTACTACATAATATATCAGTGCTAATTTTGAGCAAATTGCTCTGAGTTTTGTGTTCGCTTTCATACTAAAGTAAGACGTCGAGGTTTTAACAAGTGCCATGGAAGAAAAATGAATAATATGTGCAATGTTTACATCAAGACGTAGAGGAGCACACTACTGGGTGGTGCGGGAAAAGCGGGCGGCAACCTGGGGCGTGGAAGTGTGATGCTAGGCTTAGATATGCCTCTTATGTGCAGTCTACACGACCACTACCGAATGTACACCTTTCAAGTGTGTTGGCCATCATAAGGGTGGAAAGTTATCGGTGAACACTGAGCAATGATGACTATGGTCCACATATGACAGACCGTGTCTCTGGATCTGGAGCAATCTTTTTGCTGAAGGGACTGGAAAGAGAAAAGACAACCAGTCTCCACAACTCTCTTCAAACAACCACATGTTGCAACAACTTACAAGGCGCTCGATAAAGAAATAAAGAGGAGGATAGTAAGGTAATCTTGAGTGAAGTTTGTCCTTGAAGTCATAATAGGTGTTGGTAAGCTTGCTGTCTTAAGGCCTCAAAATGTGCTGAGGTGAGGAATTCCAAATGGGCCTCCACAAAGATCCCCACACGCTATTTACTTTAACCTAGTATTAAATCCCCTCCTATCAAAGGGCATTTTTGTCCTACTGTGTATTTCTTATGATGAGCTTTCGAGTGTACTGATGCACCGTGTGAAAATAAACATTCTACTAATTGGTAAGCTATCAGTAAAAATAAAGCTAGTGCGCCTATCAACTAACTGGGCCTGTAGCTCAGGGGTAGAGCGCTCGCTTTGCATAGCCCGGACAAACAGTCCAAGCTTCGTGCCTGCGAGAGGCCTAGGGTTCAAATCCCTACCGGTCCAATGATATATATCCAGTCTTCAGTGACTAAAGATCTTTTTCCTCACATTTTTGTATTCTGAAACACATTTTATGAGGGTTGTCTTTTTTCAGATGCAATATTACCTACTGCTGTACAGAAGTACTGTTGTTGTCGCCTTGTTCACTAGAGAGGGAACTCTCAGAATGCCGGAGGACGGATCATTATTCCTCACCCACTGTCACAACATATGTTGGTGCTCTGGCTGTTTGTGCATGACGCCTTTTAATTTCAAACCGAGATGACATGCGCTTTTCCTGCAAGTGCTACAGCTGTACACTTTCATGCATGTCATTGCGCCTCCTCCACAGCGTTCAAGACACTCCACCAGCGATTGTGCTGTAAAACTCGATATGAGACCGCTGTGTTCTTATTCAAATCGTGGCCAACGTGAAGCCTTCCACAGTGCACTCATCAGGGTAATTTATACCGCACAGTCTCGGTCAGCGTCAGGAAAGCCCTCGTCCTCATTGTAAGACATAATCCCTTCAAATACCAGGTTAGAGTTGGATGCACCGCGTGCGACGTTGCAGTTATCTCCATGAACTCGCACCCAATCTCGGTGAGATGCCGTATCACAAGATAAGGGCGACATGAATGGCGCATTCTATCTAAAGTATATCTCTTCTTGGCCGTCTTCAAAACTCTTGGTTGTTTGCAGCCAACAGATGGCATCATGGATGGTTGGTCATGCCTCCCTGATGTTGATGAATGTACCCACGCAATACTTGGCGCTTAGGTAACGTTAAACCAATTCCTTTCCACAACTTCCTGCACGAATGAAGCACCATCCATCTTGACTTCGAAAGCTGGAAAGCATGATATCGAACCAAAACTTGCCGAAGATCCTAGCTGCGTCCATCAGCTATTTAGAGCCTACCTAATCTACGTTGTCGCAATGATCCTCTCATTGGGCATGTTCCGTCAATATAACGTGCCAGTCGCCGTAATCCGAACTTAGCCTCCCTGGTTTATCGGACCACCACAGCCGGAGTTAAACGGCCACCTCTAACCTTTTCGGCCACAATCTAACAGTAACCTCTCTGAGAAACTCCACGTCTGGAATATATACTCCTCACTACAAGTTCAGCTGATTAGACTAGCACTTCAACGCCCGCGTCACAGTTCACTTCTACATATTTGTGTGCATAAGTACTTATCCTTCATTACCCGATTTCCACCTGTTTTATAATGGCATCCCAAACCGTCCAAGACGAGGGCCCCGCCGACTTCGAGGGCACTGAGGCAGCAGGGCTCCGGCCGCCGTCCCCGCCCCCGCTCTCCGCCACGCCGCCGCGCCTCCTCATCATCGGGGCCGGGTCCCGTGGCCGGGTATACGCGCGCTGCTCCCTTCAATCCTCCAACGGCGTCGTCGCGGCCGTCTGCGAGCCTGACGACTACAAACGCAATGACTTTGGCGCCAAGTTCATATGGGGCAGTCATGTCGCCCGCAAGGACGGAGAAGAGCCGCCGGAAGGCACGAGCTTCAAGTCCTGGCACGACTTCGTGGTGTACGAAATGAAGCGCCGCGAGCGGGAGGCGTCGGGCGAGGAAGAGAACGTTCCGCCGGGCGTCGACGCAGCGTTTGTGTGCGTGCGCGACGAGATGCACCTCGACGTCGTCATGGCCCTCGCACCCCTGGGCCTGCACATCATGTGCGAGAAGCCGCTGGCCACGACGCTCGAGGCATGCACGCGGATCTACCGCGCGCTGACGCCACTGCAGGACACCAGGGTCTTCTCCATCGGCCACGTGATGCGGTACTCGCCGCACAACATCCTGCTGCGGAAGTTGCTGCTCGAGGACCGCGTCATTGGCGATGTGCTGAGTGTCCACCACACGGAACCCGTCGGGTTCTGGCACTTCGCGCACAGTTATGTGCGCGGCAACTGGCGCAAGGAGTCCATCACGGCGCCCTCGCTCCTGACAAAGTGCTGCCACGACATTGACCTGATCCTCTGGCTCTTATGCTCGCCCGGCTCCCAAAGCGAATCCGCCAATCCTGATTCTTCGTCTCCCCCAAATGGCAACGTCAACGAGCAAGCGAGAGAACACCTCCCCTCATATGTAACATCGACGGGCTCGCTGCAGTACTTCAAGAAGAGCCGGAAGCCCAAGGCCGCGGGCGCGGCCACCAACTGCCTGTCGTGCGCCCACGAGCCCGAGTGCCTGTACTCGAGCAAGCGCGTGTACGTGAGCGCGCGGCACCAGGGCGTGGAGACGGGGAACGTGCGCTGGCCCGTCAGTGTCGTGCTGCCGGACATCGAGTCCTTCGACGGCGACGTGGGCAGAGCGAGCGAAGCCATGCTCGCCGCCCTCGCGGAAGACTACGACGCCGACACCACGCCGCAGGAGGTCATCGACGGCAGGAACTGGTTCGGGCGCTGCGTCTGGGAGTCCGACAACGACGTCTGCGACGAGCAGGTCGTCGTCATCTCATGGGACGAGGAAAATGAAGAAGGAGAAGATGATGCGGCGGGCTCAAGGGGCGCCAAGCAAGCCACCATCCACATGGTCGCCCAGACGAAGAAGCAGTGCCAGCGGTACACGCACATCCACGGCACCCACGGCGAAATCTTCGCCGACAGCACGACCATCACGGTCGAGGACTTCCGCACCGGCGCGACCGCGACGCACAGGCCCCGCATGGAGTCGCTCGGCCACGGCGGCGGCGACCACGGCCTCACGCGCCAGTTCGTGCTCGCCGTCGACAGGGTCAAGAACGCCGGCTGGCGCGCCCCCGACGCCCAGCGCCGCTTCGTCGGCTGCGGCCTCGAGGACATCGTCCGCAGCCACGCCATGGTCTTCGCGGCCGAGGAGGCCAGGAGGGAGAGGCGGACCGTGGATTGGAGGGACTGGTGGGATAAGAATGTTGGCGCTGTATAATAAGTCACGTTCTTTCTTGTCTATTCTTTTTTTCTTCTTCTTTTTTTTTCTATTCGAGCGTCCGCCCTAGGATAGATAGGTATTGGGGGACTCTGTTACTCATGGTCGTGTTAAGGGAAACTGAGAGAACTAGGTTAAGCGTTGGAAGTGACTCTGTGGATGATTGATAGACTTGGATAACGGATTGCATACATATATATACCCTCCTATAGAGAAACATTTTTCATTACCATACTGCCTTCTGCCAGTTGTTTATATCGAGACTTAGACGGTGACATCTAATACCTCTAACATCTGTAAACTTTCTTTTGCGTGTTGCAGTGTTGCCGAAGAGGCCTCTAAAGCAACCCAGCTCTACTTTACCCCTTCTATACCCGTGGGGAGATAGACAATTGTGCAGTATATATTGTACAGTTTATTAATTTCCTCTTCTAGAGACTAGCCTCTATGTATGTACTAGCTGTTATGTGTACAAGTGAATCAACACAAAGCGGGGAGTAATGCTGTAAGGGATGTGTGTCACGACGCGACAGTCCGACATTGCCATCCCTTATCTGAACCCCTCTTCTTCCCGAGACGATCCACGCATGCATATTGTTCGCCCCTTTCATCCCAACTGGACATGTCAGTGCCGCTACAAGAGACATAGTGGTGGCCATCCAGACCATGGCCGTGTAACCAGGAAGACGGGGGGTCAAAAAAGCAGTGCTCCGGCTAACCCTGACCCGCCAACCATGATATGACTATTGGAACGCCAGTTTTATGCATGTTAACAAGTATGTACGTCTTGTCGCCCCTCATCGTCCGAGTCGATCTTGTCAAAGAGGCCGCCGGAAGGAGTCCACACATGCTGGTGCTGTCCAAGCTCAAGCTCTATATCGGCGATGTCGTAGCCCATGTACTCGTTCCACCATGCCCTCAGCTGCCTCTTCGATTTCCGATGTGTCTTTTTGAGAGCACTGCGTGTTCGGGAGGCCCACCATTTCGGCCGGTGAAGACACCTTTGTCCGTTTTTTGTGCAAAGAGAAGAGAACCAAGGGAGAGCAACGGTGCCGAGTCTTGGGTCTTCTTCGTCGAAGAGCTGGCAGACACCACCCTACGACTCTGCCATCTTTTCGCGCTCCAGCTCGTAAAACAGCATGTATACTTCCCTCTGCATGTCGAGGACCTCGCTCGTCTTGGCCTCCTTCACCTTGTCGTCACTGATGCGCCACCACCGGCTACTGAGTTTGTTGGAACGATGGCCACTAACTTTTGGCATCGACGCTGCGCCCTCGTTGGAGGTGCTCTTCCTGCCTCTCGCAGAAGGACTATCGGCGCGACTGATCCGAGCAGACTGCGATAGCCGGGTCACGGTGGACCGAGCCGATGCTGCAACAGACTTGAGGCTGATTGCGTCACTGTCGCGGTCCTTGGAGGACACATTAGAGACACGTGGTATGCCACTGGGATTTGGGCTTGTCTTGTCTGATGAGTGCGAAGAGTAGGTCGACGAAACCTCGGCAAGGGAGTCGGGGACCAAGTCGGATGTGGATGCCACTGGGCTCGGCTCTGCCGGTTTGTGAACCGGCGTGGCTGATGGGCTGGGCGTGGCGATAGGTGTCATGCCCGCGGATGGGGTATAGACGCCAGAGGGTTGAAAGGTGTTGGTTGTCGCAAATGGCAAGTTCACATTCTGTCGCCTGAACGACTCGTAGTGACCACTGTGATGGCTTCCTTTGTGCGTGACAACTCCGAGCAGCTTGTACTTCTTCTGGGACAATAGCCCGCCTATCGAAAGCCTCTCTGGGAAGGCGACTTTGGCCGAGTTCTTCAGAGAAACATGACTGTCAAAGATGGACCGCGACAGGTGAATGGCCAATACCTTGGGGAAGACAGTGAGGCGCGTGTGCTTCGCGATGCGACAGGTGGGCGCTTCTCGTAGCTCGGGAAGCGCGACGCCTGGTGGTAAAGTCTCAGGGTCGGTGTCTATCTGGAGTTGAATCTTGCTAATCGTCTCCTGTGTCGCGTCCCTGAATGCTTCATCTTTAGATCGCGATACCTGGGATTCAAGCAGCTTCTTTGCATGAACCAATCTGCATCTCTCACACCTGTAGT